CTTTATTTCTTTTTCTTGCCTAATTACTCTTGCTAATGTTTTAAGTACTAGGTTGAACTAGACTAGTGATAAAAGACATCCTTAGCTCATTCCTTATTTTAGAGGGGAAGCTGTGAGTTTTCCCCCCTTTAATATGATGTTGGCAGTAGGTTTGTCATAAATGATTTTGATCAGATTGAGATAATGCTTTCTATACTATTCTCTTCAATGTTTTTATCAAGAAAGAATTTCAGGTTTTGTCAAAAGCTTTTAATGCATCTAGTGAGATGATCGTGTGATTTTTGTCCTTGCTTCTATTTATGTGATGTACTACATTTATTGATTTGCATATGTTGAACCACCCTTGCATTCCTTAGATGCAGCCTACTTGGTCATGATGTGTGATCTTTTTAATGACTGGCTGTGCTCTGTTTGCCAGTATCTTGTTGAGGATTTTTGAATCTATATTCATTAAAGAAATCAGTCTATAGTTTTCTTTTTTTGGTTGGCTCTTTATCTGGCTTTGGAATCAGGTTAATGCTTGCTTCTAGAAAGAACTTTGGGAGCTCTCTTTGTAATTTCATTAAAGAGCTTGAGGAGTATTGTTATATCTTCAGTGCAGTTTTTGTAAAATTCAGCAGTGAATCTATCTGGACCTGGGCTCCTCTTCTCGGTAGTTTTTTTTTTTTTAAATTATTGCTTCAATTTTATTGTCCCTTATTGGATTATTCAAGATTTTTAAATCTTGCTTTGGTTTTGGTAATTCATATGTACCTAGGAATCTTATCAGTTTTTTTCTGACTTCTCCAATTTGTTGCTGTATAAGTTTGCAAAATAAGGTGTTAACAATCTTTTTGATCTTGACATTGTCCATTGTGGCTCCACCTTTTTCATTTCTAAAACTTTTTTTTTTTTTCTGGTACCAGGGATTGAACTCAGGTCCTTGTGCTTGCAAGGTAGGCAGTAGAACCACTGAGCTAAATCCCTGGCCCACCTTTTTCATTTCTAATTGCATGGCATTTTTTCTCCTTCTTTGTGTTAGATTAGCTAAATTGAGTTTACCTCACACCCACATATAGTCCCTAGTACGGCTCCACATTTGGCTTGTCCTAAGCAAGCCAGTATGTTCCCAACCCATACCTCTCTTTGTGAATGTAACATCTTCATGGACACTATACCATCTCCTCACTGCCTTGCTCAGACACCAGGGAATGAACCAAGACTGCAGACTCGCCATATCTCACTCTGCTCAGAGAAATATCAAGGCTTACAAAATGACCTTTGAAGAGATGTGGAGTCTGCTCCTTTTGCACACTATTGTCTCATCCAGACCATTGTCTTTTCACTGCCTGCCACTGCAGTGGGGCCTTTGCTGCTGCTCTTGCCCCCATGCTCTCTCCCTGTTGAAACCATCCTTGCCTGTCCAGGTTCTTCTGGCCCACATGCTGTCTTTAGGTCAAAGGACCTTTTGTCCTGGATTCCCAAAAGTAACATATTGTTTCCATGTCACAATGCAGAATATAAAGTAGTTATCTAGGGTGGCTGCCTATCTCTGTATGCTTGTGTAACTTTCCCCTTCTATACAGGATTTATGGTGTCAGTTTGCAAGTGTTTAAAAGCATGAATTTTTTGGTTGGGGGAGGAGTGTACTCTACAGTAGAAATTGAGGAAATCAGACAGGCAGTTGCATGGAAATTAAATTAAAATTAAATTACATTAAATTAAAATATAAGCTCCTTTAAGACCACTGCTTACAGTCCCCTGTTTTTCCCCACAACCCTCAGCAAAGTGCTTTGTTTCATATGATTCGGTTCAGACCCAGAAAAGAGGGGAACTTGCATTAATCGAAAGCAGATGGGAGCAGCTGTGCCTGCACAGGTTAAAATATACCAGTCTTTCAGGAGAAAATGGAATGGATTTCAGAAGCAAAATATTTGTGTGTGCTGAGTTTGGGTTTGGGGAGGATTTTATTTTTTGGCCTTTTTTTAATGGAAAAAAAGAGCCAAGATGCTAATGGATGAAATGTTTTGCACATATGTGATGGAAAATTGTGATCGGTTAAGTCAAAAAGCAGCTTCTGATGATTGTAATGTGGCTTCGGCCTCACAGGTGTGTGACCCGCCGGCCAGCGACATCACTGCTCCATGTGTTTGGCCCTGGTCCTCCTCTCCAGCCGGCCGTAGGGGGAGATCAGATTCAGTGAGGTAGAAACTTCTAGAACTGCTTGAAATTGTGGCTTGTGCCAAAGAAGCTCCCCTCCTTCTCACCCTTTTATCCACACACAGGAGCATTAAAGAACTAAACAGCTCTCATCTCAACTTCCGTCCAACCTCCCTCTTTTGGCTCACTTTCTTGGAGGAGCAGCTGCTTTTCAGCTGATGTTTAAGCTCACACACTCTGAGTTAAGTGACTCTATTTCTTCAGGAAGAAAAGAGCTCCTTCTCTCTGGTTTGTTTAAATTGCTCCTAGCTATCATGCTTATGGGGTGCCTCATTTTACACATTTTTAAAGCTCTTTCAGAACATGTGGTCTATACAAGCAGTACAAATTCAAATTCAATATTTTCAGATTGAATCAGGGCTGAAATGCACCAGGAAAATCTGTTATTTAAAAAGACCTCTTCTCTTTGTTTTTCCTTTTCTTCTGTATTTTTCTTTGAAGTAAAGAATCCTTAGATAATACAAATGATTAAATATCATCACTCTTTTTTTTCCCTCCAGAAAACTCCACTCACCCTTTTACAAGATGAGATTTCAATTTATGTCTTTTTCACAATCTGGGACACAAGCTTGTGCTCAGACAAGCAGTTCCTTAGAGGTAGACTCATTTTGTGTCCTGTCCACATTTCATAGCCCTGTAAGATGTAACGAAGACATCAGAATTCATACATCCATGTCATCATGACAGCACAACCTGGAATATTCTGGCTCTGCACTTTGGGCATTGTTTACTTGAGCACCAATTTGGAAATGACCCTAGGTTGAAAATCTAGTGGACCTGAGATCACAGCAGGGACAATTGTGTATTCAGAGCAGGTTCATCAGAAAATTTGGTCTTCAGGATCTCCAGTCCTTCACCAGTTGCCCTTATCTTCATGACACCTGCTTCTCCCAACTGCTTTTCATACCTTTCTTCTTCTTGAGTGGTATCAGTACATACATTTCAGTAGGACCTGTTATAAGCAAGGCACAGTTCTCATCAGTTTATGTCAACTTACTTCATCTGTCTAATAACTCCATGCAGCAGGTGCACTGTCTGAAAGTCAACTGGGCACCATAGGAAGCCAAGTCAACAGAGGTGTAGGCCCCCTGGGATTGCAAGGCTTCAACTCTACACTTGACTGCCTAGACAAGGGAAGGAGCTATATCTGGCCTTGCATCTAGCCAAGAGCATATCATCCTGCCTGCCACTTTCCCCAGTCTTCATGCAATGACTATGCATGTTCATTTTGTATGTAGTGCATGTGAAGTATGTTGCTAAGTGGTTTCACTGTCTTATTTTATCCTTCTAATAATCCTTACAATTACTCCTTTTAGTTAATCCATTTATGAGTGGGGAATCTAGGTTATATAACTCACTGACACTTATAGAGCTCTCTAGCTGGCAGGGAGGGATTTCACCCACAGTTTCTACCATGATTTGTATAATAAGGTTAAGTGGAATGAAATGATTGAGTCACCATTAAAGAAATTCCAGAATAGTTTGAAATGGGTGAGTGGATATGAAGACAGGGTTAGAAGTTGGTGAAATTTTAGCACAAAGGTTTGACCCTTCCTATTGGATCAACCCTCTTCTTGTCAAGTATTTTCTGCACATGTAAACACATGCACACTTACATGAATGTGCATACGTGCCCAGGCACATAGACCTACATATACATCTAAGTATAAACCTAAAACTGCTACATAATAAAATATAATTTCCATTAGATAATACAGTACTCCTATTGAAAGTTGGAATTAGCTAAACATTCACAAACAAAACAGCCCCTTAGGACTCGACTTCCTCCATGAGGGAGCACTTTCTAGCTTGGTTGTTAGGAATCTTCCTGCCCATTTTAGAATTTTCTTATTTTTGTTATGAATTTGCTTGGGTTATATTCTTACTTAAAAACTGACAAAACTTGCCCATTCTTTATAAAAGCAAGTCCTAATTCCACAGATTACTACTCAGGGATATTTTTTTCTTATCTGCTGCAAAATTAACTTCCCCTTCTCCCTGTCTCCCTTCCCTTTCATCATACACCCTACACTCTTGTCACCCTGGGTGACTTCATTAACTTTGAATATGGTTTTAGCTTGCATTTTCACTTAGATTATGGAATACCTGCTTTTAGGACTAGGGCTTGGCTTATGCTCTCTATGAGGCCTTCCTCAGTGATCCCCCTCAGATGTATCATGTGATAATCCTTGTAGACAGAGGAAAAACACCACAACAACACCTATATTTCACTAAGTAAATACTTGTATCCATCAGTATTTACTAGAGAAACACATGACATACAAATATATATATGAATTTACAAGATTGGCTTACAATGGCAATCCAGAGTCAGATAGGAAAGAGTCCAGAGGGGTCTGCACACTGGGAATTGAGGGTTAGTCAAAGGTCTGGAGCTCATTGCAGTGTTCTATATGAATCTATAATAGGAGGCTGGTGGATTTGTGATGGAAGGCTAGGGTCTAGGCCAGAAGGCTAAAGGGTCTGTGCTAAAAGACAGAGTCTGCACTGGAAGCCAGAAGACATCCAAGATGAAGGCAAAGACTGGGGATTCTGCAAAGAACACAGAAGCAGATTTGTATTTCCTTATTCCCCCTTTATACCATCCAGGAGGAGAGCTGCCCTAGGGTGAGTCTTCCATATCCTAGGGCATGGAATTGCTGAGCAGATTTAGTTAAGCTTCTCTTAAATTTCTCAATTTGACACAGTCAATCAACCATCACAGTCCCCAGGTCTTCATTACACATTTTACACCTATTAACTCTTTTAGTTTTGACAACAATACTCTCTTCAATTTTTAGATCAGGGAGCTGAGGCAAAGAGCACAGAAAGGCATTGCAGTGTGACCAAGATCATGCACATGGTAAGTCACAGAGCCAAGAACTGAAAGCTAATGGGCTGGATCAGCCCTGTCCTCTGTTTTCCCCGGTATGTGTCGGCATGAAGATTGGGGAGGGCAGGGAATATTCACTGTTGAGTTTTGCCTCATGAAGTTCCCCAGGGTGCTTCAATGTATACTAAAACTGAAAGAAACTGTCCTGATGCTTTACTGCATTAAATACTTGAAGGACACTGTCATGATGGGAGAGAATGATCCAGTTTCCGCTATCTCCATAGAGAAAAGCCAAAAAGGGAAATGTATATTCCATAGCATCTGTAGTGGACACTTAACTTCAAGAATGTGGATGGGGGGATTATCGTGACTCTTGGCTTTATCAAAACTGATCTAAGAGTGATTCAACATGGCTGAATAGAGGAGGAACCATGTTGGAGCTACTCAGAGAAAATCAACTAAAAACACAGGTAATTGAAAGAAAAGGAGGGACATAGATGCTGATGCTAAAATCAATCTGAAATAAGGGACTTTTAGATAAAACAAAAGATAGGCATAGGACTTTATAAAATGGTGATACAGCCCACAGGACTTCCAGGGGTGCTGCCACTGGTGCACAGAACCAAGAAACTGAGAAGTTAAAAAGAAAAAAAGATGGACTGCAAAAATGTAGCAAACTCAATCCCCACAAGATGAATCTAGGATATAAGGCCATTCACCTCTTTTGCCTTCCTGCAAACAGAGGACACTGCAATCTGGGAACAAATTTCACTGGTGCACACAGGATCAAGTGACCAGAAAGATGTACTCTTACCTACAGCCACTATTTTTTTCTTTTTTTGTGCCCCATACCAGCTAACTGAAACCAAAGTTAGGAACTACAGCATTGGTGAAGGTACTGAGTGGAAGAGTATGAATCCTCCTTCCTAGCAAACAGCAGGTGCAAAGGAGAAATACAGATTGCGGACATAGGATTGAAGCAGCCTCTTGCTGATGGGCAATGAGTTGGAATACAGCACACACACACACACACACACACACACACACACACACACACACACATCTAGCCATGCCATGGGGCCAGCAGGAACAAGAGAAGAGCATGGAGTGTATCCACATGTCCCATCCAGGGCAAATCCAAGGGACAATGACCTAGACAAAACCAGAAGCTACCCACTTGAATTTTCTGAAATGATCACAGCAGAAGTAAATAAACAGATGTATGAAGCTATAGAGAAAATCAAATCAGAAATAAATATTTCAGGTAAAGAAAAAGAGAAGATAATCATAATCAAGATCTTGCTCAGTTAATCAAGAGTATACATAAATTAAAAAAAAAATAAAAAAAAAATAAAAAAAAAATAAAAAAAAAATAAAAAAAAAATAAAAAAAAAATAAAAAAAAAATAAAAAAAAAATAAAAAAAAAATAAAAAAAAAATAAAAAAAAAATAAAAAAAAAATAAAAAAAAAATAAAAAAAAAATAAAAAAAAAATAAAAAAAAAATAAAAAAAAAATAAAAAAAAAATAAAAAAAAAATAAAGAAGCTTAGGAAAATGATGGAAACCATGAATGCCCAACATAGGAAAGAAATGGAATCCACGAAACAGATTCAAACAGATATCCAACAGATTAAAAATTGCATTAAAAATTTACAAATCCAAAGGAAAAAATGAGGACAGAATATCAGGCCTAGAAGACAGGATTGCAGCTAGTGATTATGAAAAGAAAGATCTCTTAAAATAGCAAGGGGCCAAAAAAAAAAAAATCAATCCAATAGCTGCAAGAGTACTCAAAGAGGAATAACATAAGATTGATCCTAGTCAATGAAAAAGCGGGGTCAGTGCAATTGAAATTATAAAAAAACATGTTCACAGAAGTAATGGCAGAAAATTTCTCAAGCAGGGGAAAATAATTTGGCATAAAATAAATGAGGCATATAGAACTCCAGTTAACTATGACCAAAATAAATCTACATCTTGGCATATAATAATCAAGATTCCAGAAATTCAGCACAAGAACAGAATATTAAAAACTGTTAGAGAGAAGAAAGACATCACTTGTAAAGGAAAGCCCATCAGAATCATAGCATATTTCTTAACACAGACTCTTAAATCAAGGAAAGGTTGGATTGAAATATTTGAAGTACTGAAAGAAAAGAACCTCCAACCCAGATTGATGTACCTTGAAAAACTATCTTTTAGAGTCGGTGGGGAAATAAGATACTTCCATAACAAAGAACAACTGAAGAAATTCACAGTCATCAAACCAGCTCTACAAAATGTTCTGAAGAATATTTTAGAAAGAGATGAAGACCATAATTCTAAGAACACCAAGAGAAAGAAGCCACAAAGCAAAGCAAGCAATTCAACAGAGAGGAAAAACAGGGAACCAAAACCAGGAAAATCATATGAAAAAAATAAGCCAGTACATATCAGTTATATCCATTAATGTAATTGGTCTCGACCTACCAATCAAAAGAAACAGACTGACAGAATGGATCAACAAAGAAGATAAAATGATTTGTTGCAAATGGGGAAAAACATTTTACTAAAACAGAAATTCATACACTGAAAGTCAAAGGACGGAAAACAATACTTCATGCAACAAAACCCCAGAAAAAAGCAGGTGTAGCTATTCTATTTGCAGACAAAATGAAATTCAGACAAAGACTGATGAAAAGAGACAAAGAAGGTCACTACATACTTACTACGAAAACACTCCAAGAAGAGATAACAATCATAAATATATATCAACAAATACCAGCACACCCAACTATATAAAACAAATATCAATGGATATGAAAAATCAAATAACCACTAACACAATTATAATAAGGAATCTCAATATCCCACTTTCACAAATAGAAGAACTAGACAAAAAAATTATCAAGGAAATATCAGGACTAAACCAAACCTGTGAATGAATGGACTTAGTAGATATCTACAAAGTGCTCCACCCCCACGATATAAGAATACACATTCTTCTCAGCTGCTCATATGATGTTCTCCAAAATAGACCACAGAACATGCTTAAGTAAATGCAAAGGAATTGAAATTATCCCATGCATATTATCAGTGCAATGAAAATGGAAATCAATAGCAAAAGAAACCACAAAAAGCTACATAAACACATAGAAATTAAATAACAGCCTCCTGAACAATCAATGAGTCACAGATGAAATTAAAGAAGAAATGAGACAGTTTCTCCAATTAAATGATAATGCTGAAACAACATACTGGAACGTATGGGACACAATGAAAATAGTCTTACAAGGAAAATGTATAGTGTTGAACACTCACATCAGGAAAACAGAGTTAGCTCAAGTAAACAAACTAAAGTTGAACTTTAAATGTCAAGAAAAAGAAGAACAAATTAAACCCAAAGCTCATATGAGGGAGGAAATTATAAAGATCAGGGCCAAAATTAATGCAACTGAGACTACAAAAACAATACAAAAATCAATGAATCAAAGAGTTGATTCTTCAAAAGATTAAAAAAAATCATAAATTCTTAGCCGACCTTATAAAAAAGGAAAGAAATGACTCAAATTCATGCAGGTAGAAATGAAGAAGCATATGAAAAAATGTTCAACATAACTGGTCATTAGAGAGATACAAAAGAAAACAACAATGCTGAGATTTCACCTCACCCCAGAAAGAATGGCTGCTATCATGAAATCCACCAATAACAAATACTGGTGGGGCTGTAGGGAAAGAGGAACACTACTGAACTGATGGTGGGAGTGTAGACTGGTATAACCACTGTGGAAATCAGTATGGAGATACCTCAAAGAACTAAGATTGGAAGTTCCATTTGACCCAGCTATTCACCTGCTGGGTATCTTCCCAAAGAAGTAAAAGAATCATATCACAGTGATATATGTGCACCCATGTTCATATCATCACAATTTGTATTTGTTAAAATGTGGAAGCAACCCATTTACCTATCAACTGGAAACTGGATAAAGAAAATGTTATTTTTTTAATGAAATGGAGTACTACTCAGCCATAAAAATGAGAAATTAGAGAAATTTATAGCTAAATGGATGTACATTGAAGTGATATCCTTAAGTGAAATAAATAGGACAAGTGTAAATACTGAATAGTTTCTCTAGTGTGAGAAACTGAAAGTGCAAATAAGAGCTAAAAGGTGTAAAAGATAATGTGAATTAGGTAGAAAAGAGGCAAAAGGGAAGAAGAAGTGGGAGGAGTAGGGGAAATGAAAAAAGGGAATGGAATTAATATGAGAAAATGAAAAAAATGGAAACAATGTGTTTGTAAATAAGGAGGGGTGGAAGGGCTGAAGGGAAGGCAGGGGAATGGGGAAAAATAAGAATCAAGATGAATTACACAAAGGTGCAAATTTCCAATAATGAATGTCATTATGTTGTGTATCTAAAATGTGCCAATAAAATTAATTAAATAAAAACTTGAAGGAAAGTGGTGAAATCACAACCGATCTGCAGAAATCCAGATCAATAGCTACATTATGAACCTTTATTCTAATAAAATGAAAAAGACAAGAGAAATGAACAGATTCCTGCATATATATAAATTACCAAAGCTGAATCAAGAAGCTATAAAAATTCTAAATAAACCAATATCAGTTAACAAAATTGAAGATATAGTTAGAAACCTACCTACAATGAAAAGCCCTGGTTTTGCTGAATTCACAGCTGAATTCTACAAGAAATTTAGAGAAGATCTGATGCCATCACTCCTCAAACTCTTTAAAGAAATTTAAAGGGAAGCAATACTCCAAAAGTTATTCCTAGAAGGAAATATTACCCTAGTACCAAAATTGTAGAAGGGTCAAGCAAAAAAAAAAAAAAAAGGTCAGTTTTCTTTGTGGATATAGATTCAAAAGCCCTCAAATAAGATAATGACAAGCAGAATGCGTCTAACCATCAAGACCAAGTAGGAGTCATCCCAGGAATGCGGGGATGGTTTAACATATATAAATTAGTAAATGAAATACACCATATCAACAAATCCAAGCACAAAAATCACATTAACCTCTCAATA